AGCAGAGCGCCCAGCACGAGGCCGGGCACAGGCCGGGCCCTCAGACAGGAGGCCCGAGAGTAGCCGCCTCACCTTGGACCACTCCAGGATACAGTCCAGGCAGAAGTAATGGGCGCAGCTCTCCGGGGTCCCCACAGCCTGGTCCCTGAAAGTGTTGAGACAAATGGGGCAGCTCTCCGCTTCGTCGTCAGAATGACACGTGCCGTTGGCCTCCAGCTTCCCCTGAGGGTCTGCTGCCACCAGCACTTCCACGTCATCGTAGTCCTCATCGTCGTCTTCGGAATCTTCGGAACCTTGAGAAAGAGGGACACACGTGAGCTACCGCCGCGCAGGGGAAACCCGGCTCCCACCCGCACCGAGGGACAGATTGCCTGCCGGCGGCCCCGCCGGATGCTGGCAACGGCTCCTCACCTCAAGCCGCTCTCAAGCTGAGGGGCACAGCACTGGCCAGGCAGCTCCAGCAGTCCCAGCCCCGGCCCTGGCCCCGGGGCTGGAGCAGTCAGACCCCACGGGCCGGGCATGACTAGGTCAACTGCCCAGGCCAGCGCCCCGACGGCGGCCACACTCCCAACCCCTCCTCAGAGCAAGTGGGAAAGAGCCGTCTGCCTTCAGACAACACTGCCCTTAGCGGCCCCACTTCCCTCGGGGCAGAGAGCACCGGTCCTAAGCGGACCACGAGGCCGCCCCGGTCGGAGCCTGAGGCTGGGCGCCACCCGCAGAGACGTGAGGGGACGCTCTGGTCGAACACGCAGTCACCGTGTTTAGTTTTCTGTCCTCCCCGAGTGCACACAGACAGAGGACAGACCAGAGGTGTGGCAGCCTCGCCGGTCCCAGGACTCCACCCGTCCATCCCTCTGCGTGTGGCAGCACCGGTGCCCACCACGCTACTGCCCATGACCCTGCTGCTGTGGCAGAGCAGTTCCCGGGTCGGGTGGACTGCGTCAGGCGAGCCCTCCAACCGCGGTTCTCCCTGGCCGACTGCAGAGGTCCGAGGCACTCCTGCTGGGCGGCCGAAGGTGGACGCCAGGAGTGGGTGACAGTGCCCCACAGCAGCCAGAAACCGACTGCAGCCCTGCACCAGACCTGACTTCTGCCAACAAGCGGCGACCCTGGAGGAGGGCGTCGTCCCATGCACCAAAAGGTCGCTAGTTCGATTCCCGGTCAAGGCACATGCCCCAGTTGCGGGCTCGATCCTCGATCCCCGGTAGGGGGAAGGCAGGAAGCAGCCGCCAAACAACGTTATAATCTCACATTGATATTTCTCTCTCACTCTCTCCCTCCCTTCCTTTTTCGCTAAAAAAAAGAAGGCAATAAAAATCTTAAAAGAAGACAATGAGAGTGAGCACAGGCGGGAGCCCCTAGCAGCGAGGACCTGGTTGGGAGCCTGGGCCAGGGCGTGCTCCGTCCACCCGAGACCCAGGGCCTGGAAGGGGCACCGAGCTCTCTGCTCATTCTGCCGGGAGGCGTGGAAGGTGGTCTCCCTGGAAACCGCCATTCCCGGTTCCCGCCGCTCCGTGCTCCGGCACGTTTTCATCTCCTGCCCTCACCAGAGAAGAGGCCTAGCAAATCGCGTCACCAAACCGAAAGGAAGCGTCACACCGAAGTACGCCGTCGCCCCCGGGGGCATGGAGGGCACCCCACAGGGGACTGCCCACCAGGCCCGCTCTGCACGGAGTTTCTCCCCAGCGCCTCACCCACCCCTCAGCGGCCAGTGTGGTCAAGCAACGTCACTGGGGAGGTTTTAGGACCCGCTGCCCTCACGGCGAGACCCAGGAAGCCGCTCCACAGGCAGCGCTCACCAGATCCATCCTCCTCGCCCTCCTCCTCTCCATCGGTGCCTTCGCTGAGCTCACTGCCCGTGTCCTCAGAGCCGCCACTGTCGCCGTCACTGCTCTCTAGACCAAGACAGGAAAACACAGGCCGGGGCAGAGTCACAACAGAGGCAGGAGGAGGGCGGGTGCACAGAGCACCGTCACTGCTTTCTAGACCAAGACAGGAAAACACAGGGCGGGGCAGAGTCACAACCGAGGCAGGAGGAGGGCGGGTGCACAGAGGGGTGCAGCAAGCATAGTGGGGGGGGGCGCGGACGGAGGGGGACAGCAGCTGCTGGCAGGGTGGGGAGGTGGGGCTGGTGAGGACAGAAGTAGGAAAAGCAAAATCCCTTTGCTCCATTTACATCTGTATTGCTTACATTAAAAATAAGAGAAGACATCTGTACTACTCTCAACAATAAAGGTTGTTTTAAAAGATTATAAAAATAAGACAAAAGAACGTACCACTTCTGCAATTTAAAAACAAAGAGTCATGTAGACATCATTCAGACAAGAGCCAAAGGGAACTCAGCTTGTCTTTCTAATCCTCACCCGAGAACATGTTTATCATTTTAAAGAGAGAAGGAGGGAGAGAGAGAAACATCCAGGGGAGATGGCACTGCAACCTTGGTGTAGGGACAACACTCCAGCTGAGCCACGGGCCCGCGTGG